ACCTTTTCGGTTTAACCGCCCCCCCCCCGCCCCCCAAGAAAACAACCAAAAAACCAAAACAAAACAAAACCCCAACTTTTTAACAGTGGTAATGCATGTGATCCTTTTATCTTGTTTTGCATTTGTGGTGTTAGTAAAAAATTATCTTGGTCAGTTTTCTTTTTTCTTTCTACTTTTTTCTCCAGTTTAATTTATTTTGTTTTGTTGGGTCTAGTTTTTCCATTGACGAAACTGATCAATTTTTGGTTTCACAAGGACATTTTGCTGAAGGGCTGAAAAAATACTTTGATTCCAAAATTCAGATTTTGTACAGATTTAAATCTCAGCATTTCTGTGCTGAAGTAAACCTGCTTTTAAAAATCATACCTTTTAGTCTTCTGCGGCTTATTGCCAGTTGGCAACCTTTAGTTGGAACTAAATTGTCCAGGTTGTATTTATATTTTTGTATCTTTTTTTCTATCCTAGCATAACTTCTTTGCCTTTTTTAGTTGGTCACACTTTCACAGGTACAGAATTTCTCCTACGTCAGACATTTCATCATTGCTCTGTGTTGGTAATGGATTTGAGTCAGTGCTGAAGCTAAAAATGGAACAGCCTCCAACAAAGGAGCATTTGGCACCTGTGGCCCAAAGGCTGCAGCCTGAATTAAAAATAGATATTACGGAATCATTTGCATTCGAGGCCATTTCTTGAAACTAGTATTGGCTAGGCCTGTTCTGAAATTGGCAGGCTTGGATTCAGTGATGTGTGTGGGATATCATTTTTCTGGCCTTGTAATATACTGGCAAATGGAAGGAGCTTCTAAGCTTTGCAGTAATTTCATTGCTGTTTTTTTTTTCAAAGGAGATTGGATACTAGACAGTCTCATGGGTATGTGGAAGGAGGGAGTAATCAAAGGTTAGTTAGTAGCATGGTACGTAAAACTCTGATGTTCCCACTCCTTCCAATTGGATAATATGGTGGAAAACTTCCTGTTCTGATGGCCCATGGAGCCTATTGCAGAGTATCTCCCACTCTCCCACTTGCAAATGCTTGCTTGATTTTTATTTTTCTTTATTTTTTATGAAGGTATAAAACACTTTCTGCAGTTAATGAGCAGATTTCAAATTTCTAGATCTCCAGCTAGACTCCAGTGCATGTCTATGGGACACTGAGCATGTAGGATAGGTGTTTATTCTCATACTCTGCTTGGCTAGGGAAGTAGAACTATATAGAAGGCTTAGGGTATACCCTGAGTACATGAGACAGGTATTAAAGTACTACTACTCATTAGGATTTGGGCATAGAATTAACCATTAAATATTTTTCCTTTTCACCAAATTCAGTATCCTGTTGTTACAAAGTGAGCCATGTTCTCACATAAGTAGCAGAGGTTTTTTTCCCCAATTCTTTTTTCTTTCACTTGTACCTAAATGTCCATTATTGAATAATAAAGCTTAATGTGTCAGGGTTGATCTTCATTAGGTAAGCCTGTAAGACCATTATTTACTATTTGATGATAGCTCAAGGTTATATAAAGAAGGACTTCTAGTTGATATTTTAAAGAGGAGGTAAATAAATAGTTTGTTTTCATATAGCATGGATATTTTTGATTTCCCTCTCTTCACCATCCCTCTCCCTGCTGTTATACGCTTGAGTCCTCTGTTAAGCCATATTTTCAGAATTGCCACAGTGAGCCTTTGCATGTGCCCTGTTATTGTCCAGGCACTTTTTACGCAATTGCAGCTGTGCGGTTTGTGCATGTGCAGCATTTTGCATGCCCTTTGTAGGATCCTAGATTTTAAGAATGTAGATTTTTGAGTTCCAATGATGCAAGCAAATTACAGAATGATTCTTAATTAAGATAATAAGCTGGTGATTTACAATTGAGTAGTGTGGTGGGAACTATATAAAAAAAATTGGAATGTGCCACATGTTCTGAATGTACTAATGAAATCTTTATTTTTGTGTGATTTGGAAGATGGTCAGTGTGTAGGTCATTTTGATCCCTTTTTTTTGGAGATTATGTGCCTTAGAAAGGTCACTTGGGTTTTGTGTGATAGAACTGTTAGGCATGTTTAGTTTTTTTTTTTTTCCATGCCTTGTGATCAAGAGAAGGCTTGCACTGGATGAGCTCAGCTTTCTGTGCCATTCTCTAGTGTTATGGATTGTGCAAGCTGTCATTTCAATGAAAACAACCCACTCCTTGGTACTCTGTCTTTGCAAATGTTGTGATGGAGTTTTGGGAACAAGGTCTTTGAGGTCTCATGGGGTCTTGCAGCAGCCAGAATGTGCAGAAAGCAGGAAAGGGAAGAAAGGTGATTTATTAGTGCACGCGGGTATGATGATGAGATTGGGAATTAAAATTCTTTGGTCTTGAGGTGCACTGTAAAGACGTTACTAGGCATTGCATAGACTCTCAAATCTTCAAACCACTGTACCTTTAATCCTTGCAGCATCTTTGGTGAGGTAGGTAAGTGAAAATGGCTGGGGGTAGAGACGCCCAGAAAAACGACAGTTTTTATATTTATGTAAAGAACCTTAAAGTGCTTTTTAGAAAACAGAAAATGTTGTATGTGATGATGGTAATCGGCATTTAACAGGAAAGTCAACTAAAGGAGACATGTAACCTATTTTGAATTGCTTTGAAAATATGTACATATTTAATTGAATTGTTTATCATTGGTAACCATTTAAAGTAATTTTAAAGTGGGTCAAGTGAATATGGCAGCTTATTTCATTGAATAGGATGTGCAGCACAACTTCATTTACTATTATATTTGTATCAATTTCCAAGGGTACCATCGGATATTGCTTAATATTTTTTTTTCTCAAGTATTTGCTATCTTTGTAATGCTATCTTCTCCCCCCTCCCCCGTTTCCCCCTTTGCAAATTATTGAGTATCTGTACAGGGTATGTTTTTTCCACACTAAGGTTTTGCACACTTACTACATCATGAAAGAGAAAATATTTAGTAATCTGTTAGTATTTCATCTGTTTTGCCTTTTTGAACACATTAGAACTTCTGTTTATGTTCACTAAAGTTGTACTGTATACTTTAGTTTGCCCAATTAAGAGCCAAGGCTTTCTCTGTAACATTCTGTCTGAGTGTTTTGTAGAATGGATACATTTTAATCTTTGGGTCAGGATTCACATTCCCAACAAAAGAATGAACTCGAAAGTGGTCTCTCTGTTTCTTCAAATGAATAGAGCCATTCAGGGAATAAAACAGAATTCTGTGACACCAGTGAAAGAAACAGTGAATTCTTCATTGACATACTGAACTATTTAAAGTTACTTCATCAGGTTTGCATTTAAGCCTGAATGGCTTTTTTATCTCCTAAAACAGTACAGACTACAGCAGTGAATAATGCAGCCAGTACACTCTATTATAAATGTTGAAACTAGTACTAATGCAGACATCTCAAATATGAGAGAGAGAAGATAGTATGGTGCTTTACATGTATTAAAATTCACAGAACTACTCAGAGCACATCCATGCCATACTGGGTTGAAGAAAGCAGTAACAAATCAATTTTGCAGTTCCTTAAGATAACCCCCAACTCTGTAGGACAACTTCAGAGAAGTATATTTAGTGCAAGCAATTATTGCTAAATCAATAAGTATAAGATCATGTCCTTGTTTTATACAGTAAAGTCTAGCCTTTTAGAGAAAATGAAACCAATGAACGTTATCTTTAGGAGCCACAGAAACTGGCTGCTTCACAGAGACTTACAATATATGCACAGTAGAAGTGAGCTGGATATGGTTGAGACTATTTTGAAGTCTCTTGAGAGGAGGTAGTTTAATATAATCAAAACGGTCTCTTGTACATTTCAGGGTATTCTAACCTATTGTGATTTATTAGTGCAGGATGTAAAAAATAACATGCCATATTCTGTAAGCTTTTGTCTTTGGTCCAGAAACTATTGTATATTTGTGGGGGGGGTTTTAGTAGTTTGTTGCTATTGCTTTTTCATTTGGTCAGAGCCTATCTTTTAAATTTAATTATTTAAACATAATTATGTTGCTAAGTAATGCTGGCATTTGTCAATTCTAGTGGTTTCCAACCCTTGATTTGTGTGCGAGGCCTCTGAGGTTGTTTGTAACAACTGGAAATTTAAAAGGTAAAAATAAGGTCGACAGGGAAAGCAAAGTGTGATGTTGTCTCTAGCATGTAATTTGCCTGGTATGTTGCCCATGGGCTGCTGAAGGTTTGGGACAGTTGGTCAGTTTCAGTGGTTTTCAACCAGGGTGCCAAGTAACAGTTTGATGTACAAACATCTACATGGTTTACAAGTTAAACCCAGGAATATGGTATAAAAATCCATGGTGTCAAAAACATTCTGACCTATTGTGGTTTTTGATTTCTTTGAAACAGAAGCTTTACTATTATTTTCTAGACTCAACAAATGAGTGAAATGGGGTGCTGCTAAATTTAGAAACTTTATGGAGGGGTGCCCCGAGTCTAAAAACTTGAGAAACGCTGGTCTTTTTAAAAAAATGCTAATATCTTTAGATCCAAATTTAGCAGAGATAGATTTGTACTTTTGAACAGACACAATAACAATCTATTAGTTAAGACTACGTGATTTCAGATGTCTTTAATCATTTGAGTTGAGGAGTTGCTTCTGTCCCTGCTTAACTCATAATCTCCCAATCCTTCCTGAAGTGTGTAGAAGCAGTAATATCTCCTAATTCTGAAAATGGTCAGAATCAATATTTAAATTCTTGAGGAAACATTTCTGCAAATTATAATGAAACCTCCCTAGAATGCAACACTGGCAACTACAGGAAACATCTTTTTTTCTAAGTAGTAGCTAGCATAAATTTAATTGTTGATCTGTGTAGTGTTTAAAAAGCTTATTCTTGATACCTGAATTTTTAATGTACTCATTAACCCTTTGACGTTTTCTGTGTTTTCACAAAATATTAATTGTACCAATTTATTTATTCTCAAAGTTAAATATTCTGTTGTTCATCTCACAAAATAGTAATCAATAACTGTCATGTATTGTAGGTACTACAAAATATTTTAGAAACAGAAAACGAATATGCTAAGGAACTACAGACAATGCTTTCAAACTACCTGCGACCATTACAAGCCAGTGAAAAGTATGTGAGTCTGTTTTAAAATTTAAAAAGGCTGGGGGGGTTAAGTATAGTAGAAATGTCCATTTTACTGGCTGTACAAGTATCTACTTAGTATTGAAATGCTAGTGTAGCCTGAAATATACAAACAGAAAGGACTACTTGAAGTCGGGTTCTGTTCTTGTTTTGTTTATACAGTTTTTAGTAGACAAGAGTCCTGATCTCTGACTGATGTACCTATGTGCTATATATTAAGAGCACAAATAATATGTATGTATTAGTGTTGTTAAATTCACAATTTTTTCCTAAAGCAGAATTAAAAAGTCAGTTGGGGTATTTTGTGTGTTGTCTTTTCCCCCACAATGGCTTATTAAGCTTCTTTCTTTCTCTTTCCCTTCTCCCCTTCCCTCTTGGCTCCAGGTTAAATTCTATAAATACTTTGTATTTAATGGGAAACCTGGAGGAAATCAGTTCTTTCCAGCAAATGCTTGTACAGTCTTTAGAAGAGTGCACCAAGTAAGTATTATGAATGATTTCTTCAGAACTGAAACTGGAAAATTTATCTGTATTTGCATATTATCATTTGTAATTGATGGTTTTACAGCACTGAAGCATTTGGTGTTGGGAAAGGGAGTGGAGCTTCCTCAGTGGCAATCGTTTCCATGGCGCATGGCTAAACTGATAATAGTATTCTTGCAGTAGGACAGAAGTTGCACATAAACTGGTTTAAGTGACCAGAAACTGGTTTAAATATGTAACAGAACATAAGTTCAATGCACACAAATCAGTTTCAAAATGGTCAAAACTGGTTTGAGATAAATGTGGTTGAGTGTAGTATCAGACTTAACTGATTTGGGTCAAACTGGTCTATGGACTTCTGTCCCAGACTCCTTCCTGTTTTAAATTAACTCACAGTCCCTCAGCATCTCAGCTTGCTTTTCAGCTCTAGGCTGGGCTGGGCTGGGAGCTTCAGAGAGCAGAGCTGGCCCTGCCCCTCTCCTCCCTTTTTTTTTGGAGCTTTGGCTGGCTGAGAAGGAGGTGGAGACTGCAGGCACAGCAGCTTCTGCCTGGCTTCTCCCTGTCCCCATCCCTTGCTGCTTGCTGCTCAAGGAGGGATCCACCCCCTCTCCCACAGCACAAACCCCAGCTGGCATCCGATCACGGTCATGCTACTCCCATGCTAGCTAATGCTGAGAGCTGTTTGTGTGTGTGTGCCTCCAATTTCACTGGAACACAGGCATACAGAACAGTGTCAACTTAGGGCTTTTTGGAGCTAGTCAGCAGGCCAGCTGGTAATGTTCCTCTGTTCTTCCTTAAATGCTTTGTAAAAAGTTGTTTAAGAAGAGCTTGAACTGATGAGAGAGAGGCTTTGTTTTCTCGATGGTCTGATGAGCTTTGTGTTCCGATAAGCTCCCTGCTAGCTGCTGGCTTGCTGGTGCCCCTCACTGCCCCCACAACAGCCCCCCCTGCCCTGCTTGTGCTTCTTGCCCCCAAGCCCTGCTGGAGGGGTCCCCAGCTGCCAAGGCTATGGGGCCAGGGACCCAAGTCTGCAGTTCCCTGCCCCCAACAGCAGGCAGCTGCAGCAAAAGCAGTATGGATCCAGCTCCCCCACTGCTGCTGCCTGCTCAGGCGGGGGTGAAGGCAGCTCCTGGCTACCCCCCAGCCCTGCTGGTGCCCCCAGCCCCCTGCAAGCCCCACTTACCTCACAGACTCTAGGAGTGAAGAGTGAGGCTGAGCTGGGCCCCGAGCTGTAGCTGACTGAGAGTCTTAGGCCCCTCCCTTCCCCCTCCCTATACCTCTCCCCCTCTGGGCAGGGCTAGGGGTCGCCTGCCCTGTTTGCAAGTAGCTTTTGCAGGTTGGAGCTCAACCAGCTTGCAGAGCTCTTTGCAAAAGCAGGGAATCCACAGGTTTCTCTGATAAAAAGGGGAAATCTGTGGTTTTCTCCATTTTTTTTCTGTTGGAAACAGAAAACCCAGATGCCTGGTGATGACTGCAAAAGTGGGGTATTTGGAGTAAGTCTAGCTAAAAAGTATTGAGATTTTTTTTTTTTGACAAAACCTTTTTCCATTGAAAAATATGAGTTTATCTAAACAGAAGCTTTTTTCCACAAGGTATGCTAAACCAAACTTTAATAGGACAGATTTCTCAGGTTGCTGAGGATGGGATTTCTATTTAAAATCAGAGCATGACAACCACTCTAGAATAACCTGTAGTCTGGCCATTTAGAACCCTGACTTTTGATGCTTGAACAAAGGTTCAAGTTCCTGCTTTGCCGTTCTCCCATATCTGATGGGAGTGCTGTAAATACTCAGTTATTGGTTATTTTGGGGTGATCTTACTGTCCTTCCTGTTAGAGTTGTTTCACTTCTGTTCCAACTTAAATATATTTATGTGAACTTGAATTTGGGTACCCTACATCCCAGGTCCCTTTGACACTTTCTGTGACCAAACTGACATTTATTCATATGAAGTGGAGCAGCCTTAACAAGATAAACTGAAAGATCCCTCCCTCCAGAACAGGTAGCAAGCTTGTAGTGGTCAGGTCACTCAAGGTTGTACGAGATGCAGTGACAAGCTTCTAAAACAAAGACTTTAGCCCAAGTCTTCCATATCATTGGAATTGGTTATTTTGAAGTGTGTAATGTATTAATGTCTTGTTCCGTAATTTCTTTTGTAAAGAAATTGAGGTGTTTTGAGCTTGTCCAAGTGTGGAATGGACAAACTTTTGAAATTTCAGAATTTTATGGAGAGGAAGTGTTGTTTCTTACTGTGACAGGGTGGTTGAAACACTCTGCCACAAGAACGGGAAGAAGGTTAGGAGAAGAGACTTACCAGGAGACAACAAAGAAGTTGAGCAAAGGCGGGGTAAATGTCATGTCCCAACTGATTAAGGAAAGCATCTGGGGCCACAGCATTTCAAAGGCAAGCCCAGCAGCTAGAGTTCGAGGATGGAACAGGGAGAGTGGCATGGCAGGAGAAAAAGGGAAAAGCCCTGCTGAAAAAGAAAAAGGAGAACAGCTGAGTCGGGGAGGCAGCAAATTGCACGCTGCCATGGGGAACACAGCTGAGAAGAGGGAGAATTTAAATGGACACTGAGGAAATGTCTGGGGTTGGTTCAGGAAGAGGAAAAGTAGGATGACACTAGAGAAGACGCCTGGAAATGATGTAAGGAGGAACTGAACCTGAGCCCCGGTTTCTGGACTTACCTGGGAAGAACTGGTGAAGAGACCAAGGGATCACTCTGCTGGTGAGTGCAGTCCTGAGGAATGGAGATAACTCCTCCAGGATCCAGGAGAAAGAGAGAGACACAGACAAGATTACACCCCAAGAAGGGGTAAGTCCACCTGACCCTGAAGGTAAGGGCAGGGTGAAATTAAGAAGCAGTTGTCTTGGGACTCTTGCAGGGAAGAATGGAGCAAGCAGCCAGCCTAGAGGAGGATACCTTGAACAAGGAGTCCGTAAGACCAGACCTTTCGGTCCAGTAGGCAAGTAACATCAAGCCTGGAACATCTGGTGTGGTTAGGGAAGGGTATGGGGATGGTGGAGCCCTGTGAAGATAAGGGGCCCTCCTGAGCCTTGGTTGATCCTTCTGTCTCTCAAAACGAGAGTTGGGTATCTCTGTCATTAACATCAACATGTGGCAGGCGATTTTGGAAGAACAGAATACTACAATTCTAGTGGGAAGACGGCCCAGTTCCAGGAGACATGTCACCA